TATACTTTAAAAAATGATTTAAAATTGCTATTATTGTGTGTGTTCATGGTGTGTGTGTGTGTGTGTGTGTGTGTGTTTGTGTGTGTGTATAAAAGTCAGAGGATAACTTGTAGGAGTTGGTTCTCTCCATTATATGGGTACTGGGGATTGAACTCAGGTTGTCAGGCACTTTTACCTACTGAACCATTTCACAGGCCCTAATTCCAATATTTCTTAATGTCTATCTTATCCTAACTTTTTAGTCCATCTGGTATTAATGGAAAACTTCCAACCTGGGTATGTTTTATACTGTCTTTACTTTATGGATAGCCGTGCTCCCAATTGTGGCAGTAGTTACACCCAATTAGCTGAACTTGTATGCCAAAATGTGGGGGTAGGGGACAGATTCGATTAAGCAAGAGTTTTGAGCTGGGGGAGTAGCTTAGTAGTAGATCGCATGCTTAGCATGTACAGACCTTAGGTTCAATTTCCAGTGAGGGGCAGAGAAGAAAGGGAGGGAGAAAGAATGAATTGATGGCTTCTGTGTCCTAAGAGGAAGCACTTATTTCTTTTGCACCCCTCCCCTTCTTTTCAGGCTGGAGATTAAACCCAGAGCACTATCACATTCTAGACAAGTGCTTCACCACTGAATTATACCTCTAGACTTGACTATCTTTTTGCTTTTGGTTTTCTGAAAGAGAATATCACTGTGTGGCCCAGGCTGGCTTTGAGTTTACTGTAGAGCCCAGGCTGGCCTAGAAAAGGAAATTAACATAGATATGATAGTAGTTACATTGTGTAGCAGGCTAGAGTGACTTTTATTTTCTTAGATTTCCAGGTTTACTAAAAGGTAATTATGCTATTTGATAATTTAAAAAAATAAGCCTAGCTGGGGCATGGTGATGCATATCTGTAGTCTTACCACTTAGGAGCTAGGGGCAGGAGAACTGTTGAATTTTAGAGGTTAGTTTGATACAACTGGAGTTTCAGCTAGTCAGGGCTATATAACAAGACTGTCTTTGAAAAACAAAAACAAAGACCAAAAAAAAAAAAAAAGAAAAAGAAAGAAAGAAAAAAGAAAACCTTTGCTAGAACTAGAAATTGTATGGGGGCTAGAGAGATGGCTCTGTGGTTAAGAGCACTTGCTGCTCTTACAAAGAACTGGACTTTGTTTCCCAGCATCCACATAGAGAGGCTTATAAGTACTTGTAACTGGGGCTGGAGAGATGGCCCAGCAGTTAAGAACACTGACTGTTCTTGCAGAAGACCTGGGTTCGAATCCCAGCACCCATATGGCAGCTAACAATTGTAACTCAAATTCCAGGGTTTCCGACAACCTCTTCTGTCCTCTGCGGGCATTGCACGACACAGGTGCACTTGCCTACGTGCAGGCATAATACTCATACACATAAAATAAAAATAATAAATAAAATATTTTTTTAAAAGAAGTACTTGTAACTCCAGTTCCAGGAGATCCAGCACCCTATTCTGGCCTCTGTGATTACAAGTACGTACACACACACACACACACACACACACACACACACACACACAGACTTATTTTTATTTTTTTGTGTATGAGTGTTTTGCCTGTCTGTAAGTATACCCATGTCATGCAATGCCTGTGGAGGCCAGAAGAGGGATTGAATCCCCCTGGAGTTATGATGGTTATTAGTTGTCTTGTGGGTGCTGAGAACTGAACCCAAGTCTTCTGCAAGAGCAGCCTGTGCTCTTAACCACTAAGCCATCTCTCTAGCCCCCAAAATAAAATTTAAAAATTTTTTGAAAAGTAGAGATTGGAGTTAAGGACAGTTCGTAGTCGCCATATGGAGGCACTCACATACATGGAGGCAATACACTCATACACATAAAATAAAAATAATA